CTCTTGGAAGAGAGACGAAACGTTTCATTAAAGAAGAACCCGTCCAGAGGACCTATACAATTTTTTTTCCCTTTTGATACACTTTTGACCTTTGATCCCAAAATCTTTTCAGACCTCTGTCAGACCAAAAATAATCATTTGTTCCCTTTTTTAATCAGGTATTTTATTGGTACTGTCGAGGAATTAGAAAAAGAAACAGTTTTATATTAGAAATCATCATAAATGACCGTGATCTTTAACCCTTTTATGCCCAAATCTAATCTGAGTACTACTTTAATGGAGTTATTAGGCCTATTTATAAGTAAATATATCATTTCATTCAGGATGCATCATGCACACAAGACGACCTATGATGGAAGGACACCTCACTAACTCACAGCCAGAGAAATCAACGACCCACCTGCAGTACCTCCATAATCCCTCTAGGGGTGGCGACCCCAACATTGAAGAGCTCTGGATTAGAGGGATTATTGAACCAAATTTTGCTTTGTTTCTAGAATATTGTGCACTGATATCTGCTGAAGTTCTCAGACTGTGACACTCAGGAGGATTTAATGAAGTTCATCCTGAGCTGTGAGCAGCTGAAATTATTTATTTAAAGGAGCTGTGGAGAGGGGAAAAAACAGCCAAAACTGCAGAGAATCAGGTGCTGCTCTCAGCAACAAATGAACCAGTCACATGTTAAACTGTTTCATTCAGTCAGGTTTGTTCCCGTCTCATTTAAACGTGAGCTTCGGAGGAGAGATTTCAGTTTTGCTGCCCTMATGAGGTCAAAGCATGAAGTGRTTATTTKAAATGGAGCTCGTGTTMAGGGAGGAGACGGTTCTGACAGCWGCAGCAGGTTCTGGACCTCTGGTTGTCTCAGCAGGAAGTGCAGACTGAGCAGTTGGTGGGACAGGATGCTGCTGACTCGCTTCTGCCTGACGCTGAGTGAGTATCAACACTAGATTTAATCTTTCCACCACCTGAGAGTACCAGGATCTCCTCTAAACGTGACAAGTTTTATGTTCTATGAATCTGTGTTTTATTCATGATGGGGTGAGTTTAATTGGTCACTTAATTTCTAATTTACTTTCAACATAAACCAAATTGTTTTAATCCTCAAACTTTACTGATTTACCTCTTTTTTTTTCTGATCTCTGTTTTGATGTTTTCAGATCATGTTTCCTCTTTAGTGATGTTTTTCTGGGGCATTTTTCGCCGTCTTTGCCACTTCCTTTGTTACTTTTACTGCTTCACCCTCACTCACCGGACTTAACACTTATTCTTTTGATTTTCTATCCTTTCATTATCATCGTCATTTTATTTATATAGCACATTTTCAAACAATGGTGGTGACCAAAGTGCTTCACAGACATGATACTATTAAAACACTAAATGAACTAAAACCTGATAAAAAGGCACAATTACAAATTACTGATGTAGCTCAAACTGAACTCAAATTAAAAGCCAGTGTAAAAAAGTGATWATCAAGCAAGATTTAAAAGACTGAACAAACTCTGTGGTACGGATCACGAGAGACAAGTTGTTCTAGTCTTGGTGCCACAACAAAAACCCGGTCCCCTCTACACTTCAGCTGCACTAAAAATCATCTGATTAGAGGATCTCACTTCTCTGTTTGGGGTATAAAAGCGCAAAAGAACCAATAAATAACTTKGTGCCAAACCATTTAAAACTTTAAAAGTGAGTAAAAGAATCTTAAAATCAATACGAAAGTGAACAGGCARCTAAAACAGGAGGGATGTGGTCCTGSSTTCTAGAACCTGTTAAAGACCTGCACCAGAGTTCTGGAGTAACTGCAAACCGTGGAGAGAAGACTGTTCCAAACCACCATATAAATGGTTGAGTCCAGTCAAGAGGTGATGAAGGCATGGATAAGAGTTTTAAGGTCGTTGTGGGGAATGAAAGATTTTTCTATGGCAATTAGACGGAGCTGATAAAAACAGGTTTTAACAACTGAAAATGTTTATTTCTCAAATTTAAAAGCACCGTCTAAAAACACTCCAAGATTCTTGACCACAGAGGAACAATAAGGAGTGAGTGGGCCAAGAATCCCAGGAAAACCACCAAGAGGAGAAAGGTTACCAAATAAAGAAACTAAAGTTTTGTCTTCGTTCAGAGTCAGACAGTTTTGGGATAACCAATTYTTGACGTCCTGGAGACAATTCAAAAGAGTCTGCAGTGGGGCAATGACATCTGAACCAAAAGGATAATAAAATTGAATGTCATCAGTGTAACAATAGAAAGATATTCTGTGCTTATTAAATATTGGTCCCAATGGCAGCATGTACAAACAAAAAAACTGAATAGTTCCTAAAATAGAGCCTTGAGGAACACCACAACAAATAGGAGTTGATGAAGAAGAGTTCCACCCCATGGAAACGGAAAATGATCCGTCTGGAAAAACTGACTCAAACAATGTTAAAACTGAGCCTTTAAGACCAACATGTTCAAGTCTGGATAAAAGGATGTGATCAACAACATCAAAGGCAGCAGTTAAACCTAAAATAATCAAAACAACAGGGCAACAGAGCTGTCTCAGTACTATGACAGGATTTAAAACCAGACAGGAGCTCTTCACAAACATGAGAATCCATGAAGGACTGAAATTAAATTAAAACCTTTCTTCAGCTTATCTTTAGTTGGCCTTCCAGTTCTGATAAGACTAGTGAAGCTGTATTTGTTGACCACCTGAGATCAGACAGATACTTAGATCTTCTCTTTGAATAAATTGTTCAAAAACTCCAGACTTCCAGCCTCTCAGATCTGTTGTTCTGTTCAGGATTTGTTTTTGTTTTTTTCTCTACTCGTCTACCTTCAGCCTGTCTTCAGCTCAGCCCGGACCGCTCTCAGTTCTTTCGCTATGACTCGGTCTCCCTGACCTGTGAGGATCTGCTGAACTCCACCGGCTGGAAGGTGAAGAGGAACACGTGGAGTGGAGGGGTCCGGCTCTGCTCCACCTCCTCTGGCCCCACCTGCACCATCAAAGACCTCTACCCATCTGACTCTGGGGTGTACTGGTGCGAGTCGGACTCAGGAGAGAGAAGCAACGCTGTCAACATCACCGTCACCGGTACTGGAACCAACATCCAGGTGGATCTGTGAAGAAAAGATYAKCTCTCTAATGAACCAGGATGTGTTTCTCTGCAGATCTCAGAGTGATCCTGGAGAGTCCTGCCCTGCCGCTCTCTGATGGAGCTGCTGTGACCCTGCGCTGTAAAGCTGAGACCGACCCGTCTCGTTATAAATATGACTTCTTTAAAGATGGCCGCCCCCTCAGATTCAACAGCTCAGGGGAGATGACCATCCACAGGGTCTCCAGATCTGACGAGGGGCTCTACAGCTGCAGCGTCACAGACGGAGACAGGTCTGAAGGAAGCTGGCTCATTGTTTCAGGTGAGTTTATATAGACCAAATAATAAAACAGGTGTAGGCCACACCCCTGTGCCTGACAGTCGTACTTAAAAAATCTAAATATTTATTTTTGACCTTCTCTACAGATCGACCTCTGTCATCTTCAGCTCCGCCTACAGCCGTGATGTCAYTTCCTGTCTACAGGGTGCTGTGTCACCTGCTGGTGGGAACTCCTTACCTGTTGTCCACCATCATGCTGGGACTCATCTACAGAGACAGGAAACGAGGTCAACYTATAATTATTTATCATGTTATATATCATCAATCTAGGCTGTTCTGATTCTGATGTTAGAGATTCARTCATGTTCTATCAGCTAAACAAGGGTTCTCGTATATTTTCTTATATTTTATAATACATTTTTATAAATTCTGCCCAATTTAAACCTGGATCATTATTSTTTATTTACATTTTTAAGAAAGAAGATAAAAAATCATATAAAAACAGTCGGGTGTCATCAGCGAAACGTATGATTTTACAATCACAGAATTGGAATTAATTTYAGTGAGAATGATGTGGTGACTGTAAACACATTTTATTTTATGCATAACATTGATACATTTAACCCTCCTGCTGCCCTCAGGTCAAACTGAGCCATGATGGATTGGATGAATTAAATATTTATTGAGCCAAATCTAAAAATAATGTTCATCTGCTCAGATTTGAATTTAGATCTCCTAAATTCAAGTTAACAAAATAAAAACAGAAGAGTTCAACATGATGGACAGTTTGAGTCTGTATCCAACTAAAACCAACAGGACTCACTGAGTACTTTTAACTRGTAAGATTTTAAACATTTAAAACAAGAAAAATATTTACCACAGAAAAAAACTGGAGAATAATCAGAGTTGCACATAAGCGGTGCACAGGTGCACGTGCACCGTCAAAAAAGGAAAATGCGCACCAGATGGAATGTCATAAAGCTCACTTGCGTACCTAAGATTGTACCTGATTGTCTGTCAAAACAACAGCTAGCAGGGTTCTAGAGTGCGACCAGTTTGGTTGCAAATGCGACCTGATTTCTTAAAAATATATATAAATTAAAATATAAATTCCAGCCGCACTGTGGAGTGACTGGATCATTGTTCGGTGCTCACAAAGCCTGACAGCGGGACCCTGATATAAGGATTAAACGGACACTGCCTTCAACAAATCAGATGAAGTTCTGAGCCTTTTTATCCAATCAGAGCAGAGCAGGGCGGGACTTTCAGTGAGAGCATGTTTGGTTGAAGCAGCGAGTCAAGCCGCTGCAGCGGTCAGTCCTAACATCTGCTCCTGCACTTTGCTTCTGAACTACCAGACTGTGGTCTGTAAAACTTAACTTTATATTAAATATATGTTCAGAATGTTGTTAKTGAACAGATCTGTCCAACTTTGTGTGAGTGACTAAACTCTCCTCCTGAGAGACTGCTGTGATTGGAGCACATTGCTGCACACACAGGCTGAGTCTTTCTGTGAGATTCACTGTTTGAGTTTTTCTAATTAAACCAGATTAACTCTAACAGAACATTGTTTGCCCCCTATTAAAGCTAAGTTGATTCTCTGTTTAACACCCCCGTCAAAATAAAAAAATAAAAAAATAAAAACAACTTGCCATGTTCTCTAGATGAAT